CAGTTACTCAACCTCAGCCACTTCCTCCCTTATCTCCAGTCCTACTCATTTGGCTTTGACTAGTGCAATCCGGGCTTCTCTGTTGAAAATCCCCTACTACTTACATCAAAGCTGTTTTGCTTCTTCCAAAAGACACAAGTTGTTTCTTTTCCTTCTTTGCATAGCAGGACACCCATAAGTTTGTTGCCAAGAATTGTCTGGACATGGAGACAGGCGTCAGAACATCTGGGCCACTTCTCTAGGGGCCCAAGTCCAGGAGCAATTCTGGACACCCCAGAAGCCTCGCATTTGTGAGGAAGGAGCATTACCTTTCTTCTCTCCGGGACTCAGAGATGGTTCAAATCAGGGGGTCCCATGTGACACCCTAACACATCTGATGAAAGGAGCTAGATGAAAAACGGTGAGAAAAGAAGTATCCAGGATTCTGGCTTCATTCCCCACAGCAGCACAGGCCACTCACTGTTCAATCATTCATTCATTCATCTGTTCACTTGACAAACACATACTGACTGCCTACCAAGCACGAGACTCTGAGATAGACGCTAGGGATACAAGAAGGTATGACACATAGGCTTGCACATAGTCTAGCAAGGGATGCAAATATGTAGATATATAAATGCTTAGTTGATTCTCTAAAATAGGGGTCAGAAAACTTTGGACCAAATCTGGACTGCCCTCAGTTTGTTTGTTTGTTTGTTTGTTTTATACGTAAGCTCTATGCCCAGTGTGGGGCTTGAACTCATGACCGCTGAGATCAAGAGCTGCATGCTCTACCGACTAAGCCAGCCAGGGGCCCCCACATCTGGTGTTTTTTTTAAATGTTTATTTACCTATTATTTTTTATTTCTTCTTTTTTTAATGTTATATTTATTTCTGAGAGAGAGAGAGAGACAGCGTGAGCAGAGGAGGGTCAGAGAGAGAGGGAGACACAGGCTCCAGGCTCTGAGCTAGCTGTCAGCACAGAGCCCAACGTGGGGATTCGAACCCACGAACCGTGAGATCATGACCTGAGCTGAAGTTGGACGCTTAACCGACTGAGCCACCCAGGCACTTCTATTTTTGAGAGACAGAGAGAGAGAGCCAGCATGGGGAGGGGCAGAGAGAAGGAGAGAGAGAGAATCCCAAGCAGGTTCCCTGCAACCGACTGAGCCACCCAGACACTGCCCCCACCCACCCCCGCATCTGTTTTTGTATGGGCCATGAGCCAAGACTGGTTTGTTCTATTTTTAAATGGTTCCATTTTAAATGGTTATATAAGTACCTACATACTGCCCTCCCTCAGTTTTGCCTCTTGGCCTGCATGACCCATAATATTAACTATCTGGCCCTTTAAGAAAAAGTTTGCCATTCCTTACTCTAAAGTGCAGCGGCAGCTTAGAGAAAAGGAGCTAAATTGCTAAGGAGAAAGTCAGGAAAGGGTTCACAGAGAGATATCTGAGCTGGGTTTTGAGTGACGAACAGGAGTGTTTTGGAGGGAGGGAGGTGAGTAGAAGGACTTTAGGGGTGAAGGGAACAGGATGCATAGTCGCAGGGGTTTAGGTAGAGGTGAACAAAGCGTGGGAGGCGGGGAGCCGCAGAGAGGATCCTGGACAAGGGAGCAGGACAGGGGTGGGAGAAGTCCCTGGGCATCATGCTGGGGAGCTGGGGCTTGATCCTGGAGGCCACAGGGAGGTTTGCACTCAAGTAGCTGTAAGGAGTGAAAGCATGCAGGCCAGAAGTGAGAGAGATCAGTAAAGGGGCACCAGTTCAGACCAGAGCAAGGCAGGGCCTGAGCTGGGGCCAGGGCTGGCTTCGCAGACATGCCTCATATGTGATCTCACAGGACCCTGTGCTTACAAGGGGCTGCGGTTGGCTTAATGCGACACACTGTCTTAAGATCTTTTTTTTTTCAATAAAAAATTTTCTTTAAATTTTTAAATTTCTTTAAAAAATTTTTTAATGTTTTATTTATTTTTGAGAGAGAGAGAGAGAGACAGCGTGAGCAGGGGAGGGTCAGAGAGAGAGGGAGTTGCAGAATCCGAAGACAGGCTCCAGGCTCTGAGCTAGCTGTCAGCACAGAGCCTGATGTGGGGCTTCGAACCCACGAACCGTGAGATCATGACCTGAGCTGAAGTCAGATGCTTAACCGACTAAGCCACTCAGGCGCCCCTAATTTTTTTTTAATGTTTATTCATTTTTGAGACAGAAACAGAGCATGAGTGGGGGAGGGGCAGAGAGAGAAGGAGACACAATCCAAAGCAGGCTCCAGGCTCCGAGCTGACAGCACAGAGCCCGACACAGGGAACCCACCAACTGGGAGATCATGACCTGAAGTCAGGCGCTTAACCGACTGAGCCACCCAGGCGCCCCTCATGAATTCAGTTTTTTTAAAAAAATTTTTAATGTTTTATTTATTTCTGCGAGACACAGGGTGAGCGGGGGAGGGTCAGAAAGAGGGAGACACAGAATCTGAAACAGGCTCCAGGCTCTGAGCTGGCTGTCAGCACAGAGCCTGACGCGGGGCTAGAACCCATGAACTGTGAGATCATGACCTGAGCCGAAGTTGGACGCCTAACTGACTGAGCCACCCAAGCGCCCCTCATGAATTCAGTTTTAAGTCGAGCTAGAGGTATGTATCTCAGTCCTCTCTATCTCTGTCCCCACGTGTGATCCAGCCCCTGCTTTTTTTCACCCTTTCTCTTATAAGACCGCTCTTGCCCCTCGGATTTCTGAATCTCTAGTCTCTGCCTTTTTTTTTTTTTCTTTTGAGCTAGATGACCTGAAAAAAGAAAAAAGAAAAAAAAAAAAAACCTCACCACCCCTAACCTCGTTGTTGGATTCCATTTATAAACCCACAGTGAACTCCCACCCCCAACTTCATATCTGACAAACCCACCCCAATTTCCCTTTCCTTCTCTCTCTTTTTAAAAACATTTTCAAAGTTTATTTATTTATTTTTAAAAATGTTTACCCATTTATTTTGAGAAAGAGAATTTTGAGAAAGAGCGAGCAAGCAGGGGAGGGGCAGAGGGAGGCAGAGAATCCCAAGCAGGCTCCATGCACAGAGCCCAGTGCAGGGCTCTGTCTCACAAACCCTGAGATCAGGACCTGAGCTGAAATCAAGAGTCAGATGCATGCTTCGGGCGCCTGGGTGGCTCAGTCAGACTTCGGCTCAGGTCATGATCTCATGGTTTGTGGGTTCGAGCCCCTCATCGGGCTCTGTGCTGACAGCCAGCTCAGAGCCTGGAGCCTGTTTCAGATTCTGTGTCTCCCTGTCTCTCTGACCCTCCCCTGCTCACGCTGTCTCTCTCTCTCTCTCAGAAATAAATAAAACAGTAAAAAAAAAAAAGAGTCAGATGCATACTTGGGGTGCCTGGGTGGCTCAGTAGGTTAAGCATCTGAATTCGACTCAAATCACTCAGGCAGACTTAGGCTCAGGTCATGATCTCCTAGTTTGTGAGTTGGAGCCCCACATCCGGCCATCTGCTGTCAGCCCCTCCCCACCCCCCCACCCCCGCCCTTCCCCGGTTGGTTCTCTCTAAATACATACATACATACATACATACAAAAATGTTTTATTTTATTTTTTTAAAAATTTTTAACGTTTTATTTATTTCTAGGAGAGAGAGAGAGAGAGAGAGACAGCGTGAGCAGGGGAGGGTCAAAGAGAGAGGGAGTCACAGACTGAAACAGCCTCCAGGCTCTGAGCTGGCTGTCAGCACAGAGCCCGACACGGGGCTCGAACCCACGAACCGCTAGATCATGACCTAAGCAAAAGTCGGATGCTTAACCGACTAAGCCACCCAGGCGCCCCTTTACAAAGATGTTTTAAAAAGAGTTGGATGCTTAACCAACTGAACCACCCAGGTTCCTCTATTTATTGATTCTGAGAAAGAATGAGAGAGAGAGTGTGGGGGTAGGGCAGAGAGAGAGGGGAGAATGAATCCCAAGCAGGCTCCAAATAAAGGAGAGATCAAGACCTGAGCTGCAAGGGGGGCACTTAACTGACTCAGCCCCTCCCTTTCCTTCCTCTTTAACAATCTTTATTTCACCTTCCCTCCCCTGTCCTCTGAAAAACTGGAAGTGGGTGGAGAGGGGGAAGTGAGCAAAGGAGACGCAATTCAGGGGGACCCTTGGGAAGATGCCCAGCTCTGGTTTCGCCTTTTTTTTTTTTTTTTTTTTTAAATTTCTTGCCACCCAGCAGGGCTAGAGGGAAGGGGTCACAGAGTTAATGCCGTTCTTGGGAGTGCAATTGAACTGAATTCTGGAGATAACCAAGAACCCCTTCCCCTACATCACGTGGGAGGCTGCTGAACAGACCATTAGGGACCAGAGGAGAAGGTGTTCTAGCATATCTGCGTATCTGTAAACGGCATAATCCCAGTTCTTTAATCTTGGAACATGAAGTCGCAATGAACTTTTAAGAGGCCCAAATCATTTTGCATATGGGGATACTGAGGTCCAGAGAGGGGAAGGACGAACTCAGGGTCACTATATGGGGCCCAGCAGTGCCTAGAGCTCAGATTCCTAGTCCCTGCCCCGACTTCTTCCCTGCCTTGCACGTTCCTGGCGTGGGTTTCCCAACAGAGGGACAAAAGCCTGGCTTCTTTCCTTTGTATGAGGCTGGAACTAGACTTGTTTCCCAGAATCTTAGAGACACATGTGCCACAGGAGCGGCTTGGCCTAGGGGAGACTCCCGTTTCCGTGTCGTTGGCGCCGCCTGGTGGTGGAGTTGTGGAAATTCTCAACAGCTTCGGCTACAGTCCGAGACCGGGACTAGAAATGATTCCCCAGGGCCCAAGTTGATATTTGATCTGGGCGGGAGTGGGGGGGTGAGTGGGATTGGGAGCCTCTACTCGCTTTCCACCAGCTTTGGATCTTGCCTTCTCTCACCCCTGTCTTTCCGTACCCCTCCTTCTGGCCCCTTTTCCCGTGTACCGGTCCCCTTCACCGTGCAGACATTATCTCGCGTTGAATAGCTCCCATATCGGCGGGCAAAGATCGAGAGTCTGAGTCCGGGGGACGGAGGGCAACGAATCCAGACTTTATTGTCAGGGAGAAGGAAAAGGGAAGACGTGGGTGGGGGGCCGGGGTTGCTACATCGTCAAGCAGAAAGAGTTGATGGGGACGGGAAGGCCAGTGGGGGCCCGTCCCCCTCCCGTGTCGGCTGCTAGAAGGGCTGACGATACGGAAACCACAGAGGGGTGGGGGGTGGGGGGAGGGAGGTCACGCCCCCGCCCGAGTTGTGCAGTGGAGGTGTCTGGTGGGAGGGACAGCCATGAGGTCTAGGAGCTGGGACGGGGAAGGCTACAGACTCAGCGAATCCTGCGGAAAGGGGAGGGGCGGGGGCGAGGCTTCTATTGCTTTTTGCTCACAGTTTTGCGGAAGGCGAGGCGGGGGTGGGCTCGGACTGGACACCCCTTGCCCCCCTCGGTACCCCTTGGGCGATGGGTGCTGGTGAAAAGAATGGAATCCAGACTGGGGAGGAAGAAGGTGAGGGAAGGGTCTGTAGGGGCATCTACTTGGTCCCACCCAAGTGCCAGAGATGCCCCCGAGTGCTGCCCCCTATGATGGGCCCAGCTAGACCTGGGGCTGGGGCATGGTGCGGGGCGGGCACAGTGAGGTTGCAGGCGGTAAAACCAAAGTGCTTCTGAGGGACCCAGGATCCCGCCTGCTCCCCTCCCCCTGCGGAGGATGGGGGTGTTCACGGAAGCGCTTCAGTTTGGGGGCAGGGGCCGGAGTCCCAGAGTCCGCTTATTGCCAAGAAAAATCCATTTCTGCCCCCCGGACTCCGACCATGGCTTGTGAACCCCGTTTTGTGCTAGGTTTGGTGGGGAAGGGCTGAATGGACATGGCTTTTGGGAGGGGGGGTGTCTCCAAGGGGGCTCGGGGGTGAGACGGCCCCCCCTTTTCTAGGGGAGAGGGAAGGGCAGGGGGCGGGGTTCCCTGAGATCTGGGGTGTTCCCCCCCTTCTGAAGCCCCCCTCCCCCGCTACCCCTCCCCTTTCCTGGAACCCCGTACCTCGGGGTGGGGGGGAAGGAGAGAGAGAGATCATTCAGGGAGTGCCGGGAGTAGGGGCGGGCTTGGAGCCCAGAGGCCTGGGTCCCGGCTGGAGGTGGGGGGGGGTTGAATGGGAGGGGGTTCGGGGTTCAGGTCAGTAGGGGGAGAAGAGGATGGGTCCGTGCGCAGTTCGGATGGGCCCGGGGGCCGGGTGGAGCAGGGGGTGGGTGATCGGCGGTCCCTGGAGAAGAGGTGCGGCTGGGGCCGGGCGCAGGGACAGCGGGGAGCCTGCTGCCGCTGCCATCACCGCAGCCACCGCTAGGGGGCTGGGTAGCAGGCCTCCCGCCAGGGACTTGGGCAGCTCCTTGGAGAAAGTCAGAGTACCCTGCAGAGGGAAGAGGGGCGGGGAAAGGGAGACCCAGAAGTCATTCTGCGGCCCGCAAACCCCACCCCTCCCCGTGCCGGCCCGCGTCCCCTTCTCCTCCCAGCTTCGGGTCTCCCTATTGCCGAATTCTCCAGCGCCCAGGCCTCACCGCCAGCTCCCCCGCGCCTCTAGGCTTCTTGTGACGGCTCAGCAGCGGGTTGGGCTTCCCGGCCACGCCATCTCGGTGCCGCCGGCTGGAAATGTGCTGCGGGGGTAGGGAAGGCCAGTGGGTAAAGGGGCTGTGTGTGCCACCCGGAAAGGAGCAACCGACAAGCCAGTAGGCACACCCAAAACACCCGGCCCCGCCCTTTCTGTGGTCCCAAGGAAAGGGCCTGAAAGACACACCCTCACCCAAGCTCTCTGTTCGAGAGCAGAGCTCCCTAGAATTCCTGGGAAAGGCCTTGGACCCACCTGTTTCAGTTGGACCTCCGAGTTGACCTTGACATTGCAGATCTCACAGTGGAAGGTTCGGTCCTGGGCAGGGGCCTCTGGTTCCCCAGGAGTGGGGGGCCCCAGACGAGGGTAAGCTTTGATGGGGCCCAGTCCACTTCTGGCCTCCAGAATTGTCTTGTGCTTAGTACCTGGAGCCCACAGAGGGCAGAAGGTAAGGGGTGGAGGAAATATTCTCCAGGCCTACTAAACAGCAAATACCCACGTTCCCAATTAAAATAGAGGGGAAGCCTCAAGTGTGTGTGGGGGGGGGGGGTTTCCAAGCCCCTTGGGACACCCCCAAACCAAGGTAGGTCAGGCAGGGGAGAGTCACAGTTAAGTCAAGAAGTTAAGCAGAGGGGGAACTAAAGAAGTTAAGTGGCTAAGGAAGGGGGGAGTTGATTCAGGAGGGAGATGGGCTGGTAAATCTTGGGGGGTCCGGGATGCTGGAAGCCCGGGGAGTTAAGAGGTAGGGAGCAGAAGTGGGCTGAGGATAGGGGAATGTGGGGGGAGGTGTAGGAGAGTCCATACCTTTGTTATGAGCCTCAAGCTGGGACAGGGAGTTCACTGCCACCTTGCACAGAGCACAGTAGAGCAGCCGCTTGGCCTTTTCCTCCTCTTCCTTGCTGCCTCCAGGCAGGGGAGCTGGGGCTGGAGTGCCCCCTTCACCCTTGGTTGGACCCTGACCAGTCTCCGGAATGCTGGGAGGGGACGGGGAGCCAGGCTGTTTCTCTGGGGATCCTGGGGCTGGACCCAGTCCATTCTCCATGGAAACTGTTGTTGGGGGAGAAACATAGGGGTCACCTCAGATGGTTTTTGGAGGAGATGCTTTATGTGGCGGAAGCCCACCCCCATTTCCTGGAGGGCAAGGGCCCAGAAGTCCCCACCCTGTGACAGCATGCATGCTCTCATACCCTGGGCCAGAGCCAGATGCAGTCTAGCTGCTGCAGGCTGGGCCGTGAGGCTCCAGTGCCTGACCCATCCTCGAGAAGCTGGGAATGGTTGAGGGGCCCAGCCCCAGTGGCTTCCCCTTCAGGTGGAAGCTGGCGGCCAGCCTAGCCGTGGGGAGAGGCAGGGGACAAGGATTCACCCCTCCGCGGCCTGCCAGCCAGCCTGGGCTCCCTGCCTGGCCAGCCCCTTCCCAGAGTCCTGCCCAGTCCCCAGGGAGGCATGCCAAAGCGCTCTAGGAAGGGGCAGAGGCAGCACGAGGAGAGGTCGAGAGGGACAGTCACAGACACGGCAAAAGGGAAACAGCAACAGCAGAACCGGAGAGGGAACAGGGATGCAGGCTGCTCTATAATTCATGGCTCGATTAAAGATGCACCGGCCCCAGGCCTCAGCGCTGGGTTCTGGCCTCCGAACAGGGGAAACTCTAGCACTCTCATTCTTGCTCCAGCAGCCTATCCAGTTTCCGGGTTGTGAGAAGGCAGAGAGTGGGGGTGGGACCCTGGTAAGAGAGGGACCTCCTGACTCTTGCAGGTGTCTGTTTGCGTGTCCGTCCTGCCTTTCCCCTTATTTCTCTTACTCATTTGACATCCTTTACCTCCATTCCCATCCAGAGAGCACACCCACGTCTCAAACGGGACAGGGCTTCATGGTTTACAAAAGTAGGGCAGGTATCATTATCTCCTTAGAGATATACTATCGGAACGAATGAAACGTGGTAATATGCATAAAGCACCTGGAACATGAAATGTTATCTTCCACCACCACTATCATCATCATCATCCCCATTTTACAGAGACGTTGGCAAGTTAAAAAAAGATGATCAGGCCAAGAGGCAGCCAGAGCCCAATTAGAACTCAGCTCACCAGCCCGCCCTATCTGTGCATCCCTGAGGGACATGCGTGTGTGTGTGTGTGTGTGTGTGTGTGTGTGTGTGTGTGAAAGACAGAGAGAGAGAGAGAAAGAGAGAGAGAGAGAGATGATCCTGGTCCTCAAGCTGCTGATGTAGATGCCTGGTCTCATTCCGCTTGGGGTGGGGCAGAAAGGACAGGCAAGGGTGAGGAGGAAATGGGGATGTTGGGTCTTTCTGGAGTTGATCGTGACTGATAGCTGGTGTGGCAATCCCAGGATAAGGGTGGCTCACATCATCCTGCCTTGATATTCGTTCCTTCCAATTCCTTGGCTGGGAGGAGGACTGAAGATGGCCACCAGCCATGAGGGAGAAAGTCTCAGAGCTGCTTTTTGTAAACCTGGAAAAACCTCCAAGATCTTAAAGTCTCACTCCCAGGACGCATGCTGGGGCCAGAGAGGCCAAAAGATCAACCAAGATCATCAGGGAGTTGCTTGAGTTTCCTGAGCTCTCAGCCTCCTCAAGGGGAAGCCCAGTGGGCAGGCCCTCAGATACCCTCATTCCCTCCGCGTCCCTCTCCCCAAGATGAAGGGGCCTCTCCCTAGATTTGAAGGAAGGTTCCCTTTTTTTCTTGAGGACATTTGCCAGGTGGCCTCACCCTAGCCCCTCTCTGAGTCACCGGGCGGTGGGGAGGACAGACAGTGGGGACTCTGTTGAGAGGAGCTGGGGCGGGAGTGGGGGTGACAGGATGGAAATTCTGTGTCACGGTGTTTGGCTCCAGGACTCACCTTGGGTAGGGGTGGGGTGAGGGGGTTGAGGAAGAGAGAGATGAAAGCAGAGAATTCTGGGAAGTGGGGAAAGAAGAGAGACGAGATCAGCTGAACAATGGGGGGGGATTCAGACGCACCTGGACGGGGGGCTACACCATCCCCATTTGGGGGGGTGCTGCCTGGGGGAGCTGGGTCTCCAGGTTCCCGGATGCCAGGCTCCCTGCCTCGGGTCTTGGCAGCCTCGATGCCTTTGACTCTTCGGGCGTGGCGATTACCCTTGTAGTGTGCCTCAGCCTGGCTCTTTAGGGATGAAGGGAAAAAATGGAATCTGAGCTCACCTTTCATATGACCATTCTCCCCCACGGAGTTCCTTCAGGTCCCGGGGTGGCCACAGGAGGCTGCAGCAACTCTCTTACGATACTAGTGAGACGTAAAGCCCCATGCCTAGTGAGATGTAAAGCCCCATGCCAAAGAGCCCTGGTTATTCCTGGGCTTCAGGCTGGCTTCTCAACCTTGAGTCGCTGCAAACCTGGATCCTCACCTAGCGCAGGTTCTGCCCTCCCACCACATCCAGGGCCTGGCTTCTGACTCGGGTTGCTCCCCTAGTTCTGGGTGAGGGAGGGCTGCCCCAACCTATACTAGAATTCTAAATGGGAGGGGACTAGCAATCCAGCCAGCCAGCAGTCGCTTGGCCCCCTGGCCTTCTGTGCGTGTGTCTCCTGTCTCCTGGCCCCGGGATCCAGTCTTCACTGCTTCTACACCCAGGGTAGGAGTCCCAAGAGCCCTGAGGCCGGGGCCCTACCCTGACAACTACTCCCCCCCCCTCAGTTCTCATTTTTCCTGAAGCCTCTGTGGACACCCTGGAGGACCCTGGCCCCGAGCCCAGCTCTGGAGATAGAGACGGCAGCAGAGACAGCTGTCAAAACAGAGCCACTTGGTGGGGGAGGGAAGTGGAGGGCTGCCTACTATTGGCCCCCTGCCCCTCTCATCCTCCACCCTCCACCAGTGAGTGGAGCCAGGGTTGGGAGAGGGGATGCCCGAGGTTGAGGTACAGGAGAGGCCTAAAGCTGGGTTGGTCCTGGTTTTACCCCCACCCCCATGTGCCCCTCCTGCTCAGAACATACAGTTCTGGAGCCACAAGGTCACCCGGACAGGGACAGAGTAGAAATAAAAAGTATGGATAGGTAGGAAAAGAAAATTGATATCCTAGGGGTGAGACCGTGGTGTGCAGAGCCTGGCAGTATGGTGCGTGTGTGTGTGTGTATGTGTGTGTGTGTGTGTGTGTGGACTGGGTAGAGAAACAGAACATGCTTTATTTCCCCCTACTCAGCAGAATGAGGCTCTGCTGTTTTTCTCCAAAAGCTCTCAGAACCTGCACCCCACAAAGTCTCTGCTAGACCCACACAGAAGTCCCAAGGGAGCCTCAGAAGGAGGACGGCTGGGAGGCCAGACGCCGAGGTTCTGCATTTTGGGTGGCTTCTCTCCATGGTAAAGTCCTCCATAGGAAAGGAGAGAAAGGGGAGGGAGCCAGGAGGTTAGAGTGAAGTGGGTGGACCAGGGGAGGGGTTTAGCACAGGCGCCGGAGGACACAGGCTCTCTGCAGGGGAGTCAGTGACCTAACTCAGCCCAGTGCCCAAGGACCAGTGGGCCAGAGGCCACTTTCCCACCCAGGCATGATGGCCACCTGTGCTCGAGGAAGTTCTGAGCCAGGGATGCCTCGGTTCCCAAGCGAGGGAGGGGTCAACCTTAGAGGAAGGGCCGACTTCATGTTGAAATATACAGCCACCTCTTGTCTCTCTCAAGAGCCGTCCATCCTCCCCTGCCCCTCCTCCAGTATCCCCAGTCCCTGCTCTTCCCCTGATACCCCCTTTATTTCCCCCCCTACCCCCCACCAGAGCTCCTCTGCCCTCTGTCCTCCCCTGAGATCTCCTGGCTACTCCTGCTCCACCCATTTGAGCAGCAAGGCTTCTTACCTGAGAATTGAAGCGGATCTGACAGACATTACAGGAGATGATGGGCCGCTTGGTCTTGAGCAAGGGTCCCCCAAAAGTGTGGGAGAGCACAGCTTTCTGCACAGGGTCCATCTGTGGAGGCAGGCTGGGGTGAGCCAGGAATCCCAGCGCAAGCTCATGTCCGTCATCCCCCACAGTGGTTGCAGCTGTGTTGAACCAGAGTGCTCCGCGCCTCCTCCCTATCCCTCAGTTTGCCTGAGGGCGCTGAGCCTCAGTCCCCTGCTTCCCTCCAAGCCCAATCTTCACTTTACTGGAAAGGCCTTAAGGGGTCAACTGGCCCAGTGCTCCCATCCAACAGAAGGCAGAAGTGGTTCGCCCAAGGTCACATGATGAGTTAATAGCAAAGCTCGTACTTGAACTTGGGCTGCTGTCTCAGTTCATCGCACCATGAAGATCCAGCTCTGTCTTTTTGACCTACAGCTAGGCCAATCCACCAAAGGCCCACTGATGCAAAGTCCCAAAGCACCCCAGGTCCTCTGGCCTTCAGCTGAGGCCTTTGAACTCTCTGGACCCAGTCTGGGGCAAGATGTCTACCAAGCCAAGCCTCTGGGCCCAGGAGAAAGACATTCCCAGCTTCCTGTCTCTGGGCCCCAGGTTGCCCTCACGTACTCCCTAGACCTCTTTAAGGCAGGAAGTCTAAAGGGAGTAAAAGAACTCAGGAGAGAGTAGTGAATAATGGGAGTTAAGGGGGGGGGGGGGGGGGGGGGGGGGGGGGGGGGGGGGGGGGGGGGGGGGGGGGGGGCACCTAACAAGCTGGGTTGGCCCGAGGCAGTGGAGAGCTCTTCTGAACTTCTCCCTGATCCCAGGGCTTCTGGGGCAGGGCTGTGGGGCTGGGCGTGATTAGGAACAGTCTCTGCCCCCACCCTGGGTCAGCAGATGTCTTTGCAGTCTCCTGCCAAGAGTTCACATGAGGAAGGGAGAGGATGGGAGTTTCTCTCTGAGGCCTTCAGCTCTCAAGGGATGAAGCCAGGGGCCTAGAGGCATGAAAATTGCCTCCCTGCACAGTCCTCCTCCCTTCTGGCCCCCTAGGCAGCCAGGGAGAGGCGAGACTGGAATGCATCTGAGGCTGAGGAAGACTGGGTGATGGCTGGGACCTCTCATAAAAACAGAACCAAATTAGAACTGCAGCCTGGTCTTCCAGGGGGAAGGATCGAGTGAAAAATAGTTGCTGGGACTTGGTGGGGGGGGGGGGGTCCTTAGCTCCTCAGCTGAGGCCTTCCCCTATGCTCAGGTCTTCATGGTTCCCAGTAAGTGAGAGACAGGCACATGAAGCAGGGGAAGAAGGTGGCAGGAATCTGGAAAGTCCACATATCCAGGCTCCCCCCAAGTAGTCTCACAGGCTGGTTGGAAGGGGGCTTTAACATCCCTGAGAAATGGGTTGCCTCATTTGGTAGGAGTAGAGGCAGGAGCCATGGCCAAGTTCAGATGGCTTGTCTGGCTGACAAGTGTCCATCTCTTGGCCTCCCCTTGGCTGGAAGCAGCCCCTTTCAGTAGCTCACTTTTTACCTCCTGGAAGCCCAGGTCTTATTCAAAGAAAAGCCAAACAGGGGAAGAATGGGCGTGACTGCGTGTGTCTAGGCAGGCTGTGATCAATCTGTGCATGGGTGGAGTGTGAAGGAGTGTCATGTGCTGTGTGCACATCATTTATGTATCAACATTTCTGTGTCGGGGGCTTTGCCGACGCCATGAATGGCCAGGTTGTGTAATCTTCAGCTGTGTGTTTATCTGTGTGAATGTATGATGTGTTTGGCAGACAGAAAGACAGACCAAGTTGGAGACAGGCTTTAATCAGAAAGGGGAGACAGATGACTGCTCTCAGCTCCCAGTCTCCAGGCGTCAGTCCCCCCTTAGGCTGAGACACCCTCTCCCCTCCCCTCCTCCCTGCCCCCTGCCCCAGGGTTCTCCTCAGCCCCCGGACTTCCTCCTATGCTGGGTGGGGAATGGAATTCAGCCCAAACAGAAACCCAATCTGGGCTGGGAAACCTAAGTCGATGACAGCAGAAGAGAGAGAGGAGTGGGATGGAGAGGGGACAGACAGCAGAGGCCCTGGTTCTGGCTCTGCCCCACCCATCACCCCAGCCTGCCTCTCAGAGTGCCCTGAGGACGACTTGTGGGCTGACCATGCCTACATCCAGCCCTGGGAGAATGGTCCCTGCCCCACCTGGGTCCCTCCTCCAGAGTGAGAGCCTTTTCTCTTGCATATACCCTTCCTTAGGTTTATGTCCATAAACACTAACAGGGGGTTGGGGGGTGGTGAGAAAGAGGGAGTCAACCCAGTGCTGAGTCCTTCCCACCCTCTCCTCCAGGAACTAAGGAGACACCAGGCTGAAGGTGAGGGCTCCTGGGCCCAATCCCTGTGCAGGTGGAATGTGAGCCACTGAAGTGCCGCTCCAGGCCAAGGTCAAGAGGCCCTGATGACCTAGATGAGAGCTCTCTGGGGAGGGGCGGAGGCCAATATCTCCCACAGCCCATCCCACCCAGAGCCCCTTCCCTGGGATTTTGGCCTAGACACTGCCTGGAAAGGTCCATAAAACATTCCTCTCTCACCTGCCCTCCAACAGCAGACATGAAGGGGAATCACTCCCTAAAGCTGGGGCAAAATGAAGCAGGAAGGGCAAGGGGGAGGGAAGGGAGGAAACCAGATCAGGAACAGGAGAGGGGGCCATGATTATATTTCCTTCCATTGCCCTTTATCTGATGGAAACCGCTGCCCCATGTTTGACCACCTCACTTCCCCATCTTCCCTCCCCCACCCCCAAATAAAGGTGAAAAGAGAAAGAGGGTGGAATCTCAGGGATGGGAAGATCTGAGGGACAGGAAGGACTGAAATAGGAAAGAGAGTGAGCTAGGGGGTGTCTAAAGAGCAGGTGGAAGCTGGTGGGGGAGGGATGCTGGGAAGAGGAAAGATGCCGGGATGGGATAAGAAGGATCTAAGCGCCGTGGTAATTTGAGGGTACATGTAAGCCCTGATGGGAAGTCTGAAGATTTGGGGGACTCTAAGAATCTAAGAAGCAGAGGTGGGGGTATCCAGTATGGTGGCAGTAGACTGGGGGGTGCCAGCTGGGATCCAGAGATTGGCTGGGACCGCGCCAGTTATGGGGGATGGGCCAGATAACCCGAGGACCAGGCGAAAGGAGAGGTAGCCCGCCCGCCAGGGGCGGGCGGGGATGGGGTGGGGGGGCGCTGCGGCAGCGGCGGGAGCCAGGGAGAGAGGAGGGGCCGGGTGGCTTACCCTGCGGGACCCCGGGGGCCGCGACTCCATGGCCCGGGGTAGCGGACCCGGGCGGGGCACCCGAGCCTGGCCGGGCCGGGCAGGCCGGGGACGCGGCGCTCGTTGCCCGGGTGGCTCGGGGCTGTGCGGCCGGGCCGGCCCGAGAAGGGGAGGCGGTGCCGGCCGGGACCGGAGCCCGCCCCGGAGGCGGGGCCGAGGGCGGGCCGCGGACGGGGGCGGGGCTAGGGAGCCTGGGAGGAGGGAAGGAGGAAGGGGCGCTAGGGTGAAAAGAGGAGAGGAGAGGAGAGGGTGTCCGTATCCAGATACTCGTTCCAGGGTGGTAGACCTTGTCCTGGTGAGGGGCCGTTCGGTCCGGAGACCAGGCATTGAGCAGGTGACCTCGGCTTTCTCCACTGAGGATCCTTGCTGGATCCAGTGTCCCCACCAATCCTATGGATGACTCTATTTGTCTGGCTCGAACATTTCTCCTTTCTCCCATCCCTTCCACCCTGGCCCTCGCTCCAGTGTCGACAACCTCTCTTCCGAGCCCTCAGACTCGTGCTCCCTCTGCACAAGACCCTTGTGCCCTTTTTACATGTCACTTCCCTTGCCAGGGATGGGAAATTGAGCCCAGCTACCTAGGTATCAGGCACTGCTCTCAGTGATTCCTCTGAACAGTGGAGCTGGGAGGCGCCCAGAGCAGAAGCGACCTCAGACTGGGGACATCGTCCCTAACCTCTTCCTATCTCCTCCCCTCGCCCGCCACCTGCTGGACAGCTAGGTTCTCAAAGAGCTTATGTTTCGTGCACTTGCTGCCCTCTGGCGGTCAAGTAGGAGCAGCACTGGGGGCTCAGGGGCAGGAGGGCAGAGCAGCCCGCTCTCCCAGACACCTCCTTATCCTGTCTGAGGGAGTCTTGGGTTTCCCGCTCTCTCATCTCTGGTTCTCACCCTCTCCCATTCCATCAAGGACAGAGAGATGAGCAGAGCAGGGAACTGAGTGTAGAGAGAAGCTGTCTTTGGGAGACCATGAGGGACGTCCAAGGGCAGAGGAAAGCATAATACAGGGAAGGGTCCAAGGGGGTGGGAACTGCCCCAGTAGGAGAGGGGTCTGGAGGTATTGTATTAGCCCAGAATCCATTAGCCACGAATAATACCACCACCACCACCACCACCACCCTCTAATTTTGATTGAGCCCTTGGAATGTGCCAGCCTCTGTACTGAGCTCTTTGCATGGATTATCTAATTTAACCTTCACAACCACTACTCAGAATAAGTACTATTATAATCTTCACTTTATAGATGAGGGAACTGAGGTTTAGAGAGGTTAAATAATTTGCCCAAGGTCATAAGCTAGTAAGTGGCTGAACTGGGATTTGAGTTTAAACCTGGGCAGCCTGACTCCAAAGCCATGTACTTAACTGCTGCACGATACTGCCAACGGTCTGTCTGCAGCTTTTCTGCAGTCCTCATTCCCCTGCAGAATTTGACACTACTGATGCAGGCTGCCACACTCTCTCCCTTGGCTTCTCCAACTCTACAGGAACAAAGTTGTGTCCCCACCCCCTCCAATAGCTCCTCCATTTCCTTTGCTGGAGCCCCCTATACCCACTGCCTAATTTTGCTTATTCCAAAAGGCGGGGGCCTTGGCCATGCTACCTCCCTTTCTCTGGTCCTCTAATAAAAATAATAGCAATAGCATAATAATCATAGCAGCTAACAGCAAACATTTGTGCTAGATGTTTTGATTACGTAATACGACTCTCACAACAGCCTTGTGAGTTGGTACTATAACTCTCTGGTCAAATTCAGGTTTAGAGAAGTGAAGCCATTTGCCTGAGGTCACACAGCCAGAGCTTTGGGAATGTCAATTCAAATCCTGCCAGTCAGATGCCAGCGCTGGGGCTGCTTAACACCCTGCCACACTCTCCAAGCTTATCAGCGCTCATGGCTTTAAATAGCTAGTCCTTACTAGAGGCAATGGAGCCATGAACCCTGGGGGAGTGAGAAACCTTGAACTATCCATGTGAATTGACTAGCTTTGTGACCTTGGGCAAGTCACTTAACATCTCCAGGTCTGCGTTTCCTCATCTATAAAATGGGTGGCTCAGTCGGTTAAACTTCCGACTTCAGCTCAGGGCGTTATCTCGCGGGTTCGTGAGTTTGAGCCCCACGACGGGCTCTGTGCTGACAGCTCAGAGCCTGGAGCCTGCTTGAGATTCTGTGTCTCCCTCTCTCTCTGCCCCTCCCCTGCTCACACTCTGTCTCCTTCCCTCTCTCTCTCACAAAAATAAACATTAAAAAAAAAAAATGAGGGAAATGATGAGAGACCTAATGGTAAGTGTAAATGAGGTGTGTAGATGGGGAAACGTATTCCCAGCACCTTCTGCTCCAGTCAAACTGAATCGATTGCACTTCCTCAAGTGCTCCTTTCTAGCTCTTCTTCATGCTCTTTGCTTCAGTCTGGAATGTTCTCTAAGACCCCTTTTTAAAATCCTACTAATAATTCTTCAAAGCCCAAATCATATGTCACCTGCTCCAGGTTGAATTCCTTTTTCATCTGTTCTCCTTCTGCTCAGCTCTGGTTGGTTCCTTAGGCACCACCCCATTCAGCAAGTCTTTCCTGACACTCCCTTGGGCTCCCATACAAGCTACATGCCTCTGACTCAGCTCTTTTCACACCATAGGGTAACTGTTAACTTGTTATCTTTCCTACTAAACATGAGTTCTAAGTCCTGTGTCCCTGACACCTGGTACAGTGCCCGGCATATAGTAGGTGCTCAAGAAATATTTGTTTTGTTCACTTGAACCATCATTGGTTTCTCTGTCACAGTATTTATAACTCTGCCTCTGTTTTGCGTTCTAGATTGCTGCATATACGTCTATATTTCTTCCCTGACTAGAAGCTCCTTCCAGACTGGACCATATCAGCGGTGCCTGGGTGGCTCAGTTGGTTAAGTGTAGCATTGTTGATTTCAGCTCAGGACATGATTTCACAATTCCTGAGTTTGAGCCCCACGTCAGGTTCTGTGGTGACTAAGTGGAGACTGCTTGGGATTCTCTCTCTCAAAAATTAATAAGTAAATAAGCATTAAAAACAAACAAACAAACAAACCCACAACGGGGCCTGGGAGGCTCAGTCCGTTAAGCGTCTGACTTCAGCACAGGTCATGATCTCACAGGTTCGTGAGTTTGAGCCCCGCATGAGACTCTCTTGCTGTCAGCACGGAGCCCACGTGGGATCCTCTATTCCCCTCTCTCTCTGCCCCTTCTCTGCTTGTGCTCCCTCTCTCTCTCAAAAGTAATCATTAACCCCCCTTCACACACACAAACCCTTAAAATTGGACCCGTATTGGGGCGCCTGGGTGGCTTAGTCGGTTAGGCGTCCGACTTTCGCTTAGGTCATGATCTCGCGGTTCGTGGGCTTGAGCCCCGCGTCGGGCTCTGTGCTGACTGCCAGCTCAGAGCCTAGAGCCTGTTTCAGAGTCTGTGACTCCCTCTCTCTCTGACCCTCCCCTGCTCACGCTGTCTCTCTCTCTCTCTCTCCTAGAAATAAATAAAAAAAAATATTAAAAACAAAAACACCTACCATTTAAAAAAAAAATTGGACCCGTATCATGTTTACCCTCGTGTCTCTATTTTATCTAGAACAGTGCCTTGATTATAGTTAGTACTCAATTTTCTCATCTGTGAAACAGATTAAACAATAGCTACCCTGTAGGGTTGCTATAAAGACTGAGATATGAAAGATACTTTGTAAACCCAGAGTGCAGTGCAGATGTTGGTTCGGATTCCTTGGAAGGAGTTTGGAGGAAGCCACTGTGGTACAGGGAGAACTCCATTAGGAGTCAGGTGCTATGGGTTCAAATCATACCTTAGGTGCATACTATGTCAACCGACATACATTGCTAAACCCTTCCGAGCTTCAGCTCTGTCTTCCCATATGTGAAACAGGAATAGCAATGTCTGCTTTGCTGCGTTGTGGCGAAGATGAAATGAGATCAGGGAGAGAAACATCTACCGCAGTGCCTGCTGCATAGCTGATACTCAGTACACGTTTGTAGCTCACTATGGTTTGATGGTGGGTTATTTGAGTTGAATAAAGCTGACTTCCTCCAAACCTTTAGCTCTAGCCCACTTTCTAGGACCCAAGTTCGAACTGTCCGCTGGACATTTTTGGCTCAATGTCCCACTGGTTCCCCAATGCGTCATGTCCTAAAGTGAGCCCCACAGCTTCACTCCAGACCAGCTTCCTCCTCCAACCCCCTGCCTCTGTCAAGGTGACTTCTCCCTCCTAGCCACAGAGGTTTGAACCTTGGAGTCAGCCTTGACTCATCCTCTCTCTTCTCCCCTACCCCCAAATACCAGTTGGTCACCATGGCCTATAATCATTTCCTTGGAAACACCTTGCCCCTCCCCCTTCCTACACACTCACACTGCCATTACCACTGGCCCAGTCTGGCCTTCCAGGCCTCCCTTCGGGCCCACACTGGGGGGGGAACAGCCTCCTGGAGCCTCTGCTCCCTTTCATCTGGCTGTCCCACTCACCTTCCTCCAACACTGCTCTGACAAAGTCATTTTGCTGCTTAGCAATGGATAACGGCTCCCTATTTCATACCATATTAAATCTAGACAACTCTGCCGGCCCTCTAAGCCCTACCCCACTGATCCTCCCCACCCAGCTGTGGGTTCCAGAGAGCCAGAATTTACAAACAGGCAGGCTTGTGACCCTGCTTATCCCTTCCGTCTGGATTCAGCACCTGTCACCGCCCCCCACCTCCCTGTAGTCACAATCACCAGTCTGGGTCTCGTTCCTTCTCTAGATGGGGGACTCAGTGAGATGATTCATATAAAACACGTAGCACCAGGGCTGGCCTAGCAAACATGAACTATTATTGTTGTTAATAGTATACCAGAGAGCCAACAATGCTTGTAACTGACTAGAGACTGGAAGGCTGGGAGACGGGGTCCTAAGAAGAGATAAGGAATTAGGTAGGAGAAGAGGGCAGGGGTGAGTCAGAGTGAAGGAAGGAGCCGGGGTCTCAGGAGGGTAGGGTAGGCAGGCAGGCTGCTACTCACAGTGTTGTAGTTGCTGAAGAGGCCCAGGGTGGGGGCTGGCTCCAGTGGGAAGGGCAGGATCTGCTTGAGGTCCAGTGGGGGCTGCATGATGGGGGGCTGCCGAAGCAGAGGGAGGGGCCCTGCCCGGCTCAGGCTGCCTGAAGGGCAGAGAAAACATTACGTGGGGCAGGAAGAGTGAAGCTTGGGAGCCCCACCCAAACCTGTCAGTCCCACTGCCCAGCTGGGGCCCCCACACTCAGAAGTGTGACTCCCCCAGCACACACACTTCCCCTGCTGGCTGGCTCCGGAGCAATGAGCACAGTGCCCTGTGGGCCCAGGGGAGGGTGCAGACTAGTCCTTCCCTTCTGGGTGGTTTTCACTTCCCCCTTCTCCAGCCTCCCTCCCCCAAGACCTTTAGGCATTTTACAAACCCACGAAAAGCACAGACCTTCTCTGCCGGATCAGCAGGACTCAGGGAGCCCCACGGCTCTGGCTGCTCCCTTCTTCTGGTTCTGTTTCTCCCCCAAGGAATTCCAAAGGCTAGGTCTCACCCCAGGGAGAACAGGGTCAGGTGGGTGATTCATCCCACTGCCCAGAGGGGAATATTGAGGCCTAGATTCGGAGGAGGCTGCCCAAAGAGCTACGATTTGTCCTGGTTGTTCTTAGTTAATTGTTGACATCCCCAGGGGTGGGTGACAGGTAAACGGCGTCCGCCCAGGGAAGTGAGCTCCCCGGGCCCATTCTCAGAGCCCCTTCTCCCGACATTCCTGTCTTCCCCCAAACCCCTTGGTCTTCCTGGGAGTGTGCAGTTCCAGCGCTGCAGGAGGAACCGCCACCCCGGCCTCTGGGAGGGGAATGCCTGGGTCTGACCCGAAGGGGAAATGAAAGTCCAGGCCAGCTACTCCACTACCCACCCTCCCCTGAAACCTTCTCTCCTCCCCCTCGGAACCATGGGAGGGACCTTGCCAGGCGCCAGTGGGGGTGGGCCAAAGGCCCTCAGGACCCCTCTGGGTTTCCGCTAGCCCAGCTCCCTTCTGCGACCTCGCCGTCCACCAGTCAGGGAGTTCTGGCTGCCCTTTCCTGCTCTGACAAGCCCCTGCCAGCAACAGGGGTTCCCAGGAACAAAGGCAAAGCCAGGAGGCTGCAAGTTTGGCCCCGTCCTCCCTTGACCTTACTGGGGCAGAGGGTACCCCGGGATCCTTTCCTGCTCCCTCCACAGACACTGCCCTTTTGCATACCTTCAGTTTCTGGTGCCTGCTGCCCCCAGGCAGTGGCCTGGCCCTGGCCCCCCAGGGGCCTGGGCCTGACAGCGTCCCCTTCCCTTGGTTCTGCCCCCTGCCCCCTCCCCGGCCAGCCCCCTCCCCCCCAAGTCCAGTCAGGAGAATCAGCCAATCAGAGTCCTGGAAAAGTGGGGCAGAGGGGAGGGCGGGGGAGCAGGGATTAGGGAATAGGAGGCGAGAGGGAGGGGGTGGGGAGGGCTCAGGCACAGCTGGGGGCAGGGAGCTGGTCCAGAAAGGTCTGGAGGGGTCTGGCTTTTCTGCCAGGGTGGGTGGCCAGGGCACCTGAGGCCAATGCTGCTGGGAGCTTGGGCTCTAGAGGGCTAAGGGTTGAAGGAAAGGGCAGGATGCTTGGCTTTGGCCCTTGGGCAGCTGGGGGTCTGTGCACCCGGTGTCCATTCCCTCCTTTGCCATCCTGGAGTCGGGATGGGGTAGAGGGAGAGCAGACAGAGAAACAGAGACAGATAGACCGACAGACAGACACAAGTGAGTGGGAGAGAATGGGAAAAAATGACAGAAGCCAGAGTGAGTGATTGAGAAAAGGGACAGAGATACTGAGAGAAAATGATAGTGAACAATGGAGAGATGGAAGAGAGTGAAATGAGAGAGGAAAAAAAAGACTCTGTGGAAAAGCTGGACACAGAGCTTGACACCAGGGTAGAAAGACTGAAAGAGCAGAGAGCAAGAAAGGGAGAGAGAAGAGAGGGATAGATAGTCTGAGGGGCAGTCTGACCACCTCCCCTTCCTGGTCTGTCCCCTCAAGCCTCCTTCCCCCTGCACCCCCCCGCCCCCGCTGGCTGGCACACCAGACCAGGGCAGCCTTAACGAGCCCTGGGCAGCATCAGGAATGGTGAGAGAAACCTGACCTCTCCCAGAGTCCCCGGCACCCAGCACCCACCCCTGGCAGCTGGTTTGGGGCTGGCACTTGCCCCGCCCCAGAGCAGCTCAGCTCCTTGTCCCTTGCCCCAGCTCTAGGCTCTCTGAAGCCCCTCAAGCACCCATCTCAGAAGAGAGAGATGAGTTCTGGAAAAGGCAATAGAAAACATATGTATTGTGAAGCTGCTAGCTGCCAGGTAAGGAGTTCTGAGTATTATCACATTTAATCTCCGAGGGCAGCTATGATTCTAGGGGAGTGTAGCTGATTCTTTTTTCCATTTGGCATATGAGGAAACTGAGGCTCAGAGAAGTTAAAAACTTCGGCTCACGTCACCTAGCCTGGAAGTATCAGAGCTGGGATTTAAGTCAAGATCTGTCGCAAATTCTTTCGCTGCTACATAGCCCCCAAAGGACTCCCGTCTCACTCAGAAGGGATGGAGATCCGAGCACAGGCTTCCGTCTTGTTCAAGGAGAGGAAGGGGAGAGTAATGTCCCCGCACTTCCTGGGGTTGGAGGAAAACACAGCAGCTAATCGGTTCCCTAAGGCCAGCTACTCATCTTCTCCAGGACAAGAAGCCTGGAGGGAAAGAGGGAGGGGAGGGAAGTGGGCAGGAAGGGCTGAAATGAGGATGGAGCGAGGCAAGGAAGCAAGGTGGGTAACTGGAGATTCGTTTGCCTCCCATTTTTGGGTCTACTGAGCTATAGGACGGGGTGAGGGGCAGCTGGCAACTCATGGGCTGAGTGGGCAGAAGCAGAGGTCGTGTTTCAGGTAACCTGAGCCTCAGTCCCCTCTCCCCTTTTCTGAGAATACTAATAGTTGCCATTTCTTTTTTTTTTAATTTATTTTTTTTTTTATTTTATTTATTTCTAGGAGAGAAAGAGAGAGACAGCGCGAGCAGGGGAGGGTCAGAGAGAGAGGGAGTCACAGACTGAAACAGGCTCCAGGCTCCGAGCTGGCAGTCAGCACAGAGCCCGACGCGGGGCTCGAACCCACGAACCGCGAGATCATGACCTAAGCGAAAGTCGGACGCTTAACCGACTAAGCCACCCAGGAGCCCCTCTTTTTTCTTTTTTTAATGTTTATTTGTGAGAGACAGAGAGAGACGGAGCGTGAGTGGGGGAGGGGCAGAGAGAGAGGGAGACAGAATCCGGAGCAGGCCCCGGGCTCCGAGCTGTCAGCACAGAGCCCACGCGAACCACCGCGAGATCATGACCTGAGCCAAAGTCGGACGCTTAACCGACTGAGCTGCCCCGTAACAGTTGCCGCTTTTTGAGGGCTCTACGTGCCAGGCACTGGACATACACGGTCTCCCTGAGGTTGTCTCCTTGGCTCCTGAGCTGGGATAACTAGCTCATTTGGCCAATGAGAACAACAGTGCTGCCTCTAGGAGCCGTGGGGGGGATTGAAGGAATCTATGTAAATTGCTGGCATGCCACGAAGGAAGCTCAATGAATGTTTGCTAAATGAATGAGTCCTCGCTTATCAGTGAGGGCAATCGGCTTTGACAGGGGGAATTACTTGACCAAGGTCACACAGCTAGTGAGGGATGTGAACCCGTCTGTCTGGCTCCAGAGACAGGGCTTTCAAGCCCTACGCTTTTGTAGGTAGACTATGGATGGGGTACTGGGGGGGGAAAGGCAGGTGTATGGTAAGGCCTGGGGAAGCAGGAAATGAGGCAGGAAACCCAGGGCTTCCGACATCTGGCTAGGTGAGGTCTTCGGGCAGATTTGGAGGTGGCAGGAGAGTCAACTGGAGTGTGTGTGTGTGTGTGTGTGTGTGTGTACACATGCACGCACGTGTTCTTGCATAGCACACAAGTCAGGCAGGGCAGGGAGGAGCTGGGGCCTGACTGGGGCAAGCCCCTCCAGAGGGAAGCTCATTAGAGTAATTACCTCCAGCAGATAGAGCCCCACCCAGCTCTGCGGGGGGTGTGGGGGGGAATTGCCAAATGCTTTGTTCAAGACAGTTCCCAATGCACCTTCGAGGGAGGGGGTGAACTCTCAGACCCTTGGATGGAGGTCCGTCTGTCCCTTTCGAGGTCCTGCTTAGCCCTAGGCACTTTATCCTGCTCAGGTTTCCCGTCTAGCACCGAGCCACAACCAAGCCACATCTTACTCCTTTCATCCCACCGAAGTCTGGCCTTTTTCTTCCTCCCTTTCCCAGAAATTTTGGCCAGGTCAGAGTCCCAACCCCTCGGCTGTCTTAGGTCAGGCCTGGGGCCTCAAGCCCTTGTGGTAAAGAATGGGAGTGTCTGCCTGTGAGCTGGCTCAGGGAGTGGTCACGTCTGGCAGGAACAGGAGCCGGCAAGGGTGTTAGGGTAGGGCTGTGGGTTAGTGCTGGTCTTGGAGGCTGGGCCCGGGTGAGAGTGAGATGAGATAGATGATTGGGGTTAGGGTCGCAAGTTGTATTAGGGCCCTAACCCGAGGTGGTGAAAAGCCCCGATCAGCACCGGGTTAAGATGTGAATTAGACTCTGGAGCCAAGGGAGGAACTGGATTGGAGTCTGGACTGGGATCTCATCTCTAATCCATCTCTTTTTCTCTTCTCTCTCCCCTGCAGTGCCTAAAATTGGGGATTGAGGGGAGAGTTTTGAACCCCTGAGTCTTGATTTCTTGACCAAATCCCATGTTTCTGGTCCTTTCTGCCTCGGTTTCCCGCCTCTGGAAAGGAGGCAGGTTGAGGGCTGGAAAGGCTTTGAAGTGAAAGATGAAAGGAACAAGGGGATGATTATGAACAACTACTTAAAACATCCTCCTTAATAACCCCAGGGTGGATGTAGGCGGGGGCAGGGCCTAAAGGGAGGAGGTGGCCAGGAAGGGAAGGGAAGAGAGAAGATCCCTGGTAAATCTTCCCAATCTGACAGGAAAGGGCCTTCTTCAATGCCCCCTCTCCCCTGGGACCCAGATGGAGAGGGCAGTAAGAAAGGCCCCGAACAGGGAGGGAACTGAGCCCAGAACCATCATCTGCTGAAACCTAGGCCCACAGTCTAGATCTTAAGAGGGTAGGCTGGGCCCCACCTGCTGGCCAGGGCCACTATGTACATGGACTCAGTGGACCTCAGTATTTGGAACCTGAAAACCGTACAATGGCATGGCCTGGGGGTGGGGCCTGAGCCCTGGCTGGCAGTTTTCTTCCTTTCTCCTTTCCTCTCAGAGGACTATCGTGTGTGTGGGCCAGCAGGCTTCCTGGCCCTCTGTAGGTGGGCACAAGGAGGGAGTTAAGTACAGACAGTGTCCTGTCCCACATCAAGGATATGTGTGTGCGTGTGTGTGTGTGTGTGTGTGTGTGTCCAATTGGCAGACCCAGGCATTTTTCCTGTGGTGGGGTCTTGATCAGGCTTGAGCAGGCCTCTGAGGCTGTCTTCAGAGCCCACTGACCAGGGGAAGTGTGGCTCACACTGGTCCGTTCTGGATAAACATGAAGCTCCCTTTGGCGCCCCGCGTCCAGGGTGGGGCCAACATGCAGGGATTGCACGCGTTGGAGGAATGTGGAGCCTGTGCTCTGGGGACTTGGGTCCAAGAGGTGATGGCCAGGGTCACTTTAGAGTGGGGATAGTCTTCCTCGTTGGGTGGGGAGTCTCTTCTTTGTTGGAGAGATGCATGGGAAGGAGGCAGGCACCAGTCATTCATGCCTCTGTTTCCTCATTCATTGAGTAGGGATGATGGAGTGCTAGATGGAGCGGGCAGAAAGGGTGAG